TAAACAGACAGTGATGTAGAATCAGTATGCGGGGCTAAACAGTCAGTGATGTAGAATCGGTATGCGGCGCTAAACAGACAGCGATGTAGAATCGGTATGCGGCGCTAAACAGACAGCGATGTAGAATCGGTATGCGGGGCTAAAGAGTCAGTGATGTAGAATCGGTGGGCGGGGCTAAACAGTCAGTGATGTAGCTTTCATTGGCCTAGGCCCACCCATGAGGCCGTTTGACCGACATATCAAACAACCAATCACAGTTCGTTTCGTTTATCGTCACGTTTCGTGGAAATGTCGCCACAATAACAGACCGGTGTGTAAATCTCTGACATATTTTAAAGATTCTATGCGAGTCAGTGATGTAGAATCGGTATGCGGGGATAAACAGTCAGCGATGTAGAATCGGTATGCGGGGCTAAACAGTCAGTGATGTAGAATCGGTATGCGGCGCTAAACAGACAGCGATGTAGAATCGGTGGGCGGGACTAAACAGTCAGTGATGTAGAATCGGTGAGCGGGACTAAACAGTCAGTGATGTAGAATCGGTATGCGGGGCTAAACAGTCAGTGATGTAGAATCGGTGGGCGGGACTAAACAGACAGCGATGTATAATCGGTATGCGGGGCTAAACAGACAGTGATGTAGAATCAGTATGCGGGGCTAAACAGTCAGTGATGTAGAATCGGTGGGCGGGACTAAACAGACAGCGATGTATAATCGGTATGCGGGGCTAAACAGACAGTGATGTAGAATCAGTATGCGGGGCTAAACAGACAGCGATGTATAATCGGTATGCGGGGCTAAACAGACAGCGATGTAGAATCGGTGGGCGGGACTAAACAGACAGCGATGTAGAATCGGTATGCGGGGCTAAACAGTCAGTGATGTAGAATCGGTGGGCGGGACTAAACAGACAGCGATGTAGAATCGGTATGCGGGGCTAAACAGTCAGTGATGTAGAATCGGTATGCGGGGCTAAACAGACAGTGATTTAGAATCGGTATGCGGGGCTAAACAGTCAGTGATGTAGAATCGGTATGCGGGGCTAAACAGTCAGTGATGTAGAATCGAGGGGGCGGGGCTAAACTGCAGTGATAGAAGCAGGCATTGATCATCTTCTGCGTAGGCGGAGCTTATCCACACTATTATATCATAGAGTACAACATTCCACAAGCTGTTGTTTTGGAAGTTATTAGACTAACAAGAAAGTTTTGAGTTCTGAAACGTACAGGTTTTTTATAGTACAATGACCTCGTATATGACAAAAGACCAAGGGAATTTTGGTTTGTCAGTTCATGACCCATTTAATGCTAATGTATTATCAGTGTTGGAAAAAGTTGTGCTGCTTAAAGGTGTCATATGATGCTGTTAAAAAGAACATTATTTTGTTTATTTGGTGTAATGAAATGTGTTTATGCGGTTTAAAGTTCAAAAAACACATT